CGCCCCGGGCGGTCGGAGCGGAGCTAGGGCGGCCCGCGGGGGGGCGAGGGAGCTGGCCTCAGGCCTGATTGCTCTGAGGAGCTGTCCTCAGAGTGCGGACGCAGAGGAAGTCGCCTTAGGTAACGCCGCTTGCTTCCGTCCCCGAAGCAGGGCCCCGTTTTGGCGGAGGTGGGGTCGTTGCGATGGGGGTTTGGGGTGCTCCTGTGAACTGCCTCTTGCTGCACCCCGCGCACGCCAGCTTGTTAACCCTTCTGTCCTCCACCAGGAGCAGCTGGTTCTGGTGGAATTTTCGGGAATTATCGATTCAGACTTTCTCTCAAAATGTGAAAATAAATGCAAGGTTTTGGTGAGTCTTCTGGAATTGGGGGATGGTTGTAGATTTTCTTAAATGAAGAACAAGAATGAATGGTGAACTCCCTCCCCCCAAAGACTGATGTATTAATTCCATGTTACTGAGCAGTGAACTCTAAAGACAATCGTAGATGCCCAGGCGGCTGCGGGAGCAGATGGGAGACAGTGCCTGACTGCTCCGGCGCCTGGGTGTGTGGCTGCAGAGAGTTAAAGACGCGGAGGAGGTGGCACTTTGAGATATATATGTGTATATATACATAGCATCGTTTTAGGTAGTGAGGCGGGAGAGAGGATAATCAGATACACATGCACCTTTTGAACGTGGAGAAGGGGAGAAGGTACCTCACACTGTGCTGTCTGGAGCCAATGGTATTCAAAGTTACCGCCTGCTTTATCACTTTGCTTTAAAATCTTGGAGCTACTGTTGACAAAACTTCCTCCGTTCTTACCTTAACTTGAAGAGCATATTGACTGAAATAGACCTGTTTACTTGGGTATGAATTAAGCAGCCTTCAGGGTGTAGTTTTAACTTACCTTGTGCTTGCCAGGACAGGAAGCTCTAAGAGGTTCCCCAGGTTTCGGAGATCCATCTCCTTGGTAGCAAGATTACATGTGGCTTTTTCTTTTTTCTTTTATTATTTTCTTTTATATTTTATTTTATTTATTAAAAAAATTTTTTTATTGATTTCAGAGAGAGGAAGGGAGAGGAAGAGAGAAATAGAAACATCAGTGATGGGAGAGTCATTGATCGGCTGCCTCCTGCACGCCCCTGACCTGGGGATCAAGCCTGCAACCCAGGCATGTGCCCTGATAAGGAATTGAACTGTGATCTCCTGGATCCTAGGCTGATCCTTAACCACTAAGCCACGCCCAGCTGGGCTTTCTTTTTTTAAAAAATTGATATATAATTAACATACTATATTTCAGGGGTATGACATAATGATTCAGTATTTGTATGTATTATGAAATGATCACTGCCAGTAAGTCTAGTAAACATCCATTACCACACATAGTTATACATTTAATTTTTTTGTGATGAGAACTTTTAAGATTTATTCTCTTAGCAAGTTTCAAAATATACAATAGAGTATTTTTGACTGTAGTAACCATGCTGCACATTACATCCCCAGGACATTTATTTTATAATTGGAAGTTTGTATCTTTTGACCACCTTCACCCATTTTATCCAACCCCTAATGCTTTTTTTCATGATTTTTATGCTCCTATATTCTGATGTAGGGAATTGACACTGAGAGGCCCATTCTGCAAATGGACAGCTATGTCTTTGCTGGAGAGTATGAAGGTAGGAAGATGTCAGAGAGGTGAAACTCCTTTTTAAATATGCTTTTTGGAGAAAGTAGCTCTGTTATTTCTTAGCAAGTTGTCTTTAAATTTTTCCCCAGACACTCTTGGGACCTGTGTTATATTTGAAGAAAATGTTGAACATGGTAAGTAATTACCATGCTAACTCTTTTTACTATGAAATATTTAAAACATACTTAGGTACAGTGAATATTAAAATGAAACATTTCATGTACCCATTGTCTAGCTGTATCAAATTCAACCATTTTGCCAGATAGTTAAAAAGCATTCTAGATACAGTTGAAGCCCCTTGTATACCCCTCTCCAAACTTTGCCTTCTGTCATCAGTCATTTACCTGAAGTTGGTGTTTTTCTTTCCTATACCTGATTTTATATTACATATGTATGCATGCACAAAGAATAAATAGCATTTTTGTATATTTTCAAACTTTATATGTTATAGCATATTGTGCATATCATTCTATAATCTTTTTTCAAATAGAGATACGTTTTGAGATTCATACTGATACATATATGTGTGTGTGTGTGTGTGTGTGTGTGTGTATATATAACTCTGTTTTCCTTGTTTCTTAGTATTCCGTTTGTGACTGTACCACAAATTATTCTCCAGTTAATGGACATGTTGGTTGCTTCCATTTTTACCAGTAATAATCAATAACTAAAACTTATTGAATGCCTTCTATATATATGTCAAGCACTATTCTGAATGTTACATGTTTTAACATTTAATTCTCACAAGTTTACGAGGTAGATCTCATTGTTAACTTCATTTTATATTGGAAAAAAACTGAAGCACAGAACAGGCAAATAACATTCCCAAGGTCATATACAAAGTAAGAAGCAGAGTCAGGATTTGAACCCTGATGATCTGCTCCAGAGCACATGTGTGTGTTTTTTTTAAATATGTTTTTACTGATTTTTTTAGAGAGAGAGAGAAAGAGAGAAACATCAGTGTGTGAGAGAAAAACAATCGGCTGCCTCTCTGCCTCCCTCATGCACCCTGACCCGGGATCAAGTCAGCAACCTGGGCATGTGCCCTTACCAGGAATTGAAACAACTACCTTTTGGTGCATGGGACGATGCTCAACCAATTAAGTCACAGTGGCCAGGGCCAGAGCCCATGTTATTAATTATGCTTCTGTGAATATTCTTATTCTGTGAATATTTTTATTCTCTCTGTGCATATATGTAATAATGTATAAAGTATACGCTTAGAAATGGAATTGCTAGATTGATGACTGTGTGTTGGGTTCAACAATATGAAATGAAGGATTTGGGCTAAATAGTGACAATTTCATGTTGCTTTCAAATGCGTGTCAGTTACACTCACAGTAGCAGTTAATGGAAGTCTGCAGTGTGTTTCACATTCTTAGCTCATAGCCTCATCCTCCCTCCTGCCTATGCCCAGTTTTCTTTAAAGCTGTAACCCTAGGCAGCGGGTTGGCAGCATGTTTTTTCTCAGCCTTCCCTCATGATTGAGAATGTGCTGACTCCATCCAGTCTTGGGCTTTAAGTAGTAAGTCTGACTTTGGTCCTTTATTTTGTGTGGTAGAATTTTAGACCTCATTACCCCTTAGTAAAGCCAAATTTCTGGCTCCACTTTCCTACTTTAGGGCTGGAGCCTAGCAGGCACATAACTTTAATCTCACTCATAGCTCTGTGTGGCTGTCCCCTAGAGTTGTTTGTTGTTTTGAGTCCAGTTGTGCCTTCAGTTCTTATGTATTTTATCTGTCACTTCTCTGCTTGGAGCAGGAGGGATGAGTTAAATCTTGAACTTACTCCAAAATCTAGATAGGAAGTCGTTCAGCCTAACTAAATTGGAATTATTGAGGCTTACTATGATTATTTTATTTGCATTGTATTTATTATATTCCTTTAAGCAGTATAATAATTGAGTTCATTTTATGTTCTAGTAGATGCAGAAGGCAACAATAAAACAGTGCTAAAATATAAATGCCATACAATGAAGAAGCTCAGCATGACAAGAACTCTTCTGACAGAAAAGAAGGAAGGAGAAGAAAGCATAGGTTAGTTCACATAGTTCTCTGAAAATAGGTGATTTAATATTGGTTTTGACAGTGACACATTGCTACCAGGACATTTTTTGTATTTTATAGTAATGACTATATGTAATATGTTAAATATATTATTGAGGGTGCTCCATGAAGAGAACCAAACATAGATTTAAAATTCAGTTGAACTCAAAAGTAGTAGAGGGCACTGGGGACATATTAGAAATCTCTATCTGCTTTGCATTGGAAATAGTTGTGGGGAGTTTGTCAAGAAACTTGACATGCCCTAGCTGGTTTGGCTCAGTGGTTAGAGGCCCTCAGACTGAAGGGTTCGGTTCCGGCCAAGGGCACATACTTCTGTTGCAGGCTTGATCCCTGACACCGGTCAGGGCTTGTGTGGGAGGCAACCAATCGATGTGTCTCTCTCACATCGATCTTTCTCTCTTTCTCTCTCTCCCCCTTCTACTCTCTCTCAAAAGCAATGGGAAAAATACCGTCAGGTGGGGATAAAAAAAAAAAAAGAAACTTGACATGATCTCCAACCCCTAGGGAAGTCAGCAATCTCCTTTATTTTATTTTTAAATTAAAAATAAATTAAAAAAAATTTTTTTTAAATCCTCGCCCAAGGATATTTTTTTCTTATTGGTTTTTCTTTAGAGAGAGTAGAGGGGAGAGAGAGGGAGAAACATCAGTGTGAGAGAGACGCATCGATTGGTTGCCTCCCACAGGCACATGGACGGTGGCGGGATCAAGCCTGCAACCGAGGTATGTGCCCTTGACTGAGGTATGCACCCTTGACTGGGTGGGAATCGAACCCACAACCCTTCAGTTTGAAGGCCAGTGCTCTAACCACTGATTCAAACCTGTCAGGGCTTTTTTTTAAAAATAAAATTCTTTGTAAGTGGAGAAGATAAGATGATAGCAGTTCCGGATTACCAAGGTGTAACCTCAGAGGATCTCCTGGAAACTTTTGGCAGCTGTAGCAGTCTTTCCCAAGAAACTTACAGCTGAAAGAAGCTGGCTTTGTATGTGAGGAAGGGACTTGAGGACCACAGTTGTTATTCCTGAGTCTAGTTCTTAGTTATCATTCATTTAACCTTCTCTAGTTGCTGATTGCCCCAGACTAGACTTTAGACCAGTGCTTCTTGCACCCATAGCAGCACATATTTGTAGAGATGAACAAATAATCACCTGATGGTTGAAGAGCTCATTGCTCAAAGACAATTTGGAACTCTTGTAAATATGACTCTAATGATGAATATTCATGGCTTGATAGATTTATTGTATTTTAAGGAATAAACATTTGAAGGTACATTAATCATGTAGAAATTAATTATACTAACGTAACTGCAGAACAAGTCTTTGTTCTTATCATGTATATCACCAAACCATCCCCTTTTTTAGGCACTATGAAAATAACAGGAAGAAGGAGGTATTTGAAGTTATAGAATGAACTTCAGAAGGAGATACATATCAGAGAAGCTTAGCTAGCATTTAGGTACTCTTATTAAAGGAAATTATAGAACTTCCTCTCCTGTGGTCTTTAGTAATCTGATAGATCTTTGAGAAGATTTGGGTGTTTTGTTTGATCAAATAAATGAGTAACCGATTATTCATGGCTGTATTATCTGTTGCTGCATAATGGCTTAGAACAACAACACCCCACTGTTTGGGAGTACTCAGCTAGGTGGTCCCGGCTGGGGCCCCCTGAGGTTGCGGTCAGTATGTTGGGTGGGCTGCAATATATGAAGCCTTGAGTAAGGCTGGAAGATCTAATTATAAGATAGCTCACTCAGGTGGCTGGCAAGTTTGTGCTGGCTGTTAGCATGAGCCTTCAGTTCCTTGCCTCCCCGTAGTACTGTTTGAGTGCCCTCCAGACATGACAGCTGGTTCCTCCCAGATCACCTGGTCCATGAGAACAAGGTAGAAGCCATGGTGTCTTTTATGAACTAGTCTTCGAAGTCATTCTGTCATTTCTGCAGTATCCTATTCAGTGTGGGAGGGGACTACACGGGGCTTGAATAACAGGAAGGTGAGGATCATTGGGGACCATCTGGAGGCTGGCTACCAAACATGGCAATGTGCTGGAGGCAGAACAGAATAGATAGGAGATGTGGGCCTTACCTTTTAGAAACTTGCACTCTAAAAGTAAATCATGCCCAGCCAGGTGTGGCTCAGCGGTTGAGCATCGACCTAGGATCCAGGAGATTGTGGTTCAATTCCTGGTCAGGGCACATGTCCAGTTTGCGGGCTCAAACCCCAGTCGGGGGCATGTAGGAGGCAGCTGAACAATGACTCTCTCATCAGTGATGTTTCTATCTCTCTCTCCCTCTCCCTTCCTCTCTCTGAAAGCAATAAAGATATATTTTAAAAAATAAAAAAATAAAAGTAAATCACATTGAAACACATGGCTGAATGTAACAACACCCATTTCATTCAGTTAATTTTAAGTATCTTTTATGTGGCAAGTTTTATACTAAGTAAGAGTAAAGAATGGTGTCAATACTTACCTGGCAGGGGAGATACCATGATTAGGAAGGTGGTTTTCTCAGGGTGAGGCTTATCCGTTGCACTCCAGATGTGCTGACCCCTACTAAATCCCTAAATGTGGGAAATTCAACTGCATAATTTGTGGTAGTAGAGGTCTGTGTTTATGATCTCCCCTGGGGAAAAAAAAAGAGAGAATGGCTTCAAGGTTTTGAACCTGGGTGAGTGGCAGAACAGTGCTCTTGCAGGAAAAAGTATGCAGGTCAGTAGTTGAAGCTGAACTGGAGAGAAAAGGACTAGTCAATTTTTAAAAATATATATACCTTTATTGATTTCAGAGAGAGGAAGGGAGAGGGGGAAGAGATAGAAACATCAATCATGAGAGAGTCATTGACCAGCTGCCTCCTGCACGCCCCTTGCTGGGGGTTGAGCCCACAACCCGGGCATGTGCCCTGACTGGGAATCGAACCTTGATCTCCTGGATCCTAGGTCGATGCTGAACCACTGAGCCACGCTTGCTGGGCAGGACTAATCAATTTTTGATGGAGACTATATAGGAATAACATGAGAAGACCCATGGGATCAGCAGTTAGACAGTGTCAACAAACAGCTGCAGAAGAGTTAATGGTGAGGAATAGGAGCAGATGGAAGAGGGAATAGGGTGGTGAGAGAGGTTGGGGTATCTTAATATCTAATGAAATTTTAAGGATGAGACTAAACAGCTTGGGCTTGCTGTAGAAATTAATGAGGCCCCGATAAATTCAGTAAAAAGGAAAAAAAAGAATTAAGCAAATAACTACAAAAAAACTATATTTTGTTGCAACACTGGGGGAAAAAATTCTTTTTAAATATATTGATTTCAGAGAGGAAGGGAAAGGGAGAGAGAGAGATAGAAACATCAATGATGAGAGTCATTGATCGAGCCCACAACCCGGGCATGTGCCCTGACTGGGAATGGAACCCCGATCACCTGGATCCTAGGTCGACACTCAACCGCTGAGCCACGCCCGGCCGGGCTGGGGAAAAAATTCTTAATAAGCCTAAACTTTTTTCAAAACAACCCAAAACACTGTTGCAAGTATCACAGACTTTAAGCATTAAATATTAACCCTGAAACTAAAAAAACAACAAAAAAACTATTGAGGATCCATGGAAAATATTTTCCTGAAAGGGTAATAAGAATAAAAGAAAAAATTACTAGCATTATTGGAGCAGTTCTTGATTATAGGGGTTTATTGAGGGGTTAGGGCTTTGACTTTGAGTATAGGAAAGAAAACACATTTTTTCATGGTTTTTTGAGAGGTGTTTTATTTGATAATTGGATGTCCCAACTCAGGATGACACATAAGTGCTGATTTGAGATGATAGAGTAGAATCTTCCATGGTATTATGAAAACTAAGTGGGTAAGGAGAAAATGGTAGAGAAGTGACAGTCTTCCTTACTCGAAGCCTTAGAGTCTAAGGTATGAGATGGTAGTGAGAGCTCAAATTATCTCTCACAATAAGTTGGGTATTGAACTATGGAAGACAAGCTTGGAATAGTAACTAAAGTAGGTTACTTTTAGTGATTTTTAAAAAATATATCTTTATTGATTTCAGAGAGAGGAAGGGAGAGGGAGAGAGAGAGAGAGAAACATCAGTGATGAGAGAGTCATCATTCATGACCTGCTTCCTGCATGCCCCTGACTGGGGATCAAGCCTGCAACCTTGGGCATGTGCCCTGACTGGGAATCGAACCATGATCTCCTAGATTCTAGGTTGATGCTCAACCACTGAGCCATGCCCAGCCGGGCACTTTTAGTGATTTTGATGATATATACTCTATAAGCATAACAAGGTCTCCAAGTAAGATGGAAATTATGTGATTATTTATTAGTAGTTACAGGAACCATGGTTCTTGGTTTATGTTGGAGTTTTACTTTGACATATATTGATGGGATGAAAATTTAAAGAAGAATATACTTAAATAACTAAAATTCATTGTTTATGTTTCTTTCTTGGTTTGTCTTCCCACCTTTAAATACTCCCCACTCACCCCCCCAATTAGGTGGTGTGGAATGGCTGCAAATCGAGGATAATGATTTTTCCTATAGACCCAACATGATTTGTAACTTTCTACATGAAAATGAAGATGAAGAAGTTGTAGCTCCAGCCCCAGATAAACCTGTGGAATTGGAAGAGCAAGAGATTCAAATGAAAGATAATTCAAACCTGAGTTATGAACAGGAGAAATCACCACACTTGGAAATAGAAGATTCTGGTCCTCTTACTGATATTCCTTCTGAAACAGAAAGTTCTGTTTTTATGGAAACTCAAGATGCTACCTTAGAAATCACTCCTAAATGAAATGGTTTTTAATAATAGTCAGAATTTTTAAAAGTTTTTATATAAAATAATTGTGTAGCTTTCAGTTGTTCAGTATTTTATTATTTTTATTGGTTGTACACATTTTCAGTTATAGCTACAACTTAATATATCATAATCATTAAGGAACAGATAGAATTTTTAAAAAATATGGTTAGCCCTGGCCAGTGTGGCTCAGTTGGCTGGAGTGTCCTTTACACCAAAAGGTAGCAGGTTCAATTCCTGGTCAGGGCACATATCCAGGTTGTAGGTTTGACCCCTAGATGGGGCATGTATAGGAGCCAACCAATAAATGTTACTTACACTGGTGTTTTTCTCCCTCCATTCCCCCCTGCTTTCTCTCTAAAAATATCAATATAGCCCGGCTGGAGTGGCTCAGCAGTTGAGCATTGACCTAGGATCCAGGAGATCGAGGTTCGATTCCTGGTCAGGGCACATGCCCAGGTTGCGGGCTCAGTCCCCAGTAGGGAGCGTGCAGGAGGCAGCTGATCAATGACTTTCTCATCGTTGATGTTTCTCTCTCCCTCTCCTTTCCTCTCTCTGAAATCAATAAAGACATATTTTTTTTAAAAAACCAATATAAAAAATCATGTCCTCGAGTGAGGATTAAAAAAAAAATGGTTAAAATAACTATAGGGAACATTGATGAGTCCTTTAAACTGGAGGTTTTACTAAGGTAAGTATATAAGTTTTCTATTACAATCATCACAAATTACCACAAATTTAGTAGATAAAACAACACAAATGTATTTTCATACAGTTTTGTAGGTCAGCAGTCTGACATGGGTCTTACCTGGGCTAAAATCAAGGTGTTGGCAGGACTTCATTCTTTTCTGGAATGGAAGGTAGGGGTGGAGATGACATTTCCTTGTTCATTCAGTTATTGGCAGAATTCGGTTCCTTGAGATTGAAGGATCAAGGTCCCATTTCCTTGCTGTCAGCTAAGGGTCATTCCCAGCCTCTAGAGGCTGCCTGCATTCCTTGGCTCATGGTCCCCTTCTCTTCAAAGCCAGCAATGGCAGGTCAGGTTCCTCTCCTGCTTAATATCTATTCTGCTTCAATTATCCTATCTGACCAATCTTTCTTGCCTTCCACCTTTAACGGTCCATTTGATTATACTGGGTCCACCTGGATGACTTCACTATTTGAAGGTCTATAACCTTAATTGATCTGCAGAGTCCTTTTTGCTATGTAACTTCAACAGGTATAGAACTGAGCAGTAGGGCATGAGAATCTTTGGGGGGGGGAGGGGGTCATTATCCAGTCTACCACAGTAATTATCTAGGAACAGAAAAATAATTCGCAAGTGCTTAAGGATAAAGGTTAAGTTCCTGCTATCCCAGCTGTAATTCCATTCCTTTTCCACTTGAAAAAGATTATTGGAATTTAGCTGTAACATTCTATTGTGATTACCTAGATCTGCTCTAATTTTTATTTTTTTACATAAAATATTCACAAACTTTGATCGAACTGTATGAAATTGCCAATATCTGATTGTTTCTGACTATAAAAAGCAGGCAATTTCATGTGGTTTAACCTGGTACTAATAAGTTAAAACACATCTTACATTAATTACATCATAACTGTTGGAGATATAATTGTATGTTATGACAAGTTAGATAACTAATGTTATAAATGAGGAATTTTTTCTTCAATAAGTTGTGTAACTTTTTACAAAAAAACTTCATTTAAAACATTTCCAAACCATAAGCATGTATATCTTCCCAATTTTTATGTGACTTTGGCCTTAGCTTTTGTTTATTAAAAAGCTTGTTTTCCCCATCATATGTATATGTAGGAAACTGCTAATAACCTTGTCCAGTATCTGTTCTTTCTTTTTTTCTTTGGAATAGAACCCCAGGATTTATTCTGGTTATCAGTGTGCCTAGCTTTTCTTGGTATATATATGGCCATATGACCAAGTTCTGGCCAGTGTCATGGAATTAGAAGTGTTGAGTGATAGATGATTCTGGGAAGTTTCCTTAAACCTTAAAGGTGTAAACAGAAATGGGCCAGCTCATCTCTCTTTCTGCTGGAACATGGATGTGATGGCTAGAGCTCCAGCAGGCTTCTTGGACTATAAAGTAGCCTTGGAAATAGAGGCCATGAGTGGCAGAGCAAGAAGATAGAAGATTGGGTCCTAATTTTATGATGCTGCCCTGGACTGCTATGAATAGAGTTAATAAAACTCTCCCAGTAAAAAGGCCTCAAGTTAACTTTTCAGCACTGTTTTCTCTGGAATTGTATTAGACAAGATACTAAAAGAACATCAGCTGTGATGCCAGGCAATATTGTTTATGATTAAAGATGACCCTTTACTGGTAAATTATATCTGGGCCAGGAAGACTGACAAGAACTATAAAAGGCCTTTGGAAAGCATGGGCTTTGGTCTTAAGTGCTATGTTTCTTTATTACAAAGACCCTATGGGCTATTTCAAGAGATACTGTTTCTTAGGGAACATGAAGCTTCTAAGCCAGCATGGCTTCTGTACCCACCCAATGATCTTCCCTTACACCTGAGTTGACACTTGGGCAGCTGGGGTAAAGACTCCTGCTGAAACAGCTCATGCTGTTGTGCCATTTCCTATAAAGTGAATCTAGTGCCCGGCTGGGTCCCGCAAGGCTTACTGGGTCCTGTGAGTGTGAATGTCATTCCAAACCTGTGACTGTTGCTGCTGTTCATCGCAACTGCCCACCTCTGGCCTTTACCTGAGTGAAATAACTTGTTTAACTCACTCTGTAATACCACACTTAATCCTAATTGACACATTATGCATTTCAGCAAACTTGAACTATTTAGAAAAGTATAAAGAAGTTGAGTGGAAGATTCCTGAGATTTGTAATCTTGCAAAAGGAACATCTAGACTATGAGGTACTTTATACCTTAAATTGAAGAGGAAAATAAAGTCATAAGTTCCAAAGAGTGCATGTTTTAGCTCATTATCTATTAATAAGATTAAATGTTTCAAATTTAGTAAAAATATATTTTTTTCAACTATGGAATATTTTGTAAAACTAGGATTTCTACACCGTTGATCTGCCTTACTAACTTACCAGGATTACTTACAAACTAATCTTGGAACTAGTCTCTAGCTGTCACACTAACTTCTACTTCTGACACTGAGTGCAATGGGTGGTTTTTGCTTACAAATAATGATACTCTACTCAAAAGGACCATATTGTTAAGCTGTCTCAACGGGCATCATTCCTTCAGGCCATTATTGAAATGTTTGAAAATTCACCCATTTGTTCATTATGTAATACATGGATCATCATAAATTTATTGACACGTGGCCAGTTTAGTGAAACTGTTGATACATGTTTTTCTGTTCATTCAACAGCAGTTTAAAAATTTTAAGAATCTATTTTTCATTTACTTTAAAAAAATAAATATATCTTCATTGATTTCAGAGAGAGAAAGGGAGAGAGAGAAACATCAATGATGAGAGCCATTGACTGGCTGCCTCCTGCATGCTTCCCCACTGGGGAATGAAGCCCACAACCCGGGTATGTGCTCTGACTGGGGATTGAACCGTGATCTGCATCATAGGTTGATGCTCAGCTGCTGAGCCACGCCAGCCAGGCTTCATTTACTTTTGTTCCAACAGCCTATGTGAAACTGAACAAGCTTCTTTTTTTTTAATCCTCACCTGAGGATATTTTTGCCATTGTTTTTCAGAGAGAGTGGAAAGGAAAGGGAGAGAGAGAGAGAACTGTCGGCGTGAGAGACACGATTGGTTGCACTCACCCTGACCAGGCCAGGGATCGAGCCTGTAACCCAGGTATGTGCTGTTGGCCGGAATCAAACCCGTGACCATTCTGCCAGCTGATGCTCTAACCACTGAGCAACCGGCTAGGGTGAAACTGAACAAACTTCAAGCATAAGGCTTGCATAATCTTTCAGAAAAGTTTTTATTGACTTTGGAGATGGATTTTATGACTTTTATCATTTCCACCATTATTTCCTTGTGGAATAAGAAAATTCTGTTTATGAAATTGTCTAGTACACTTTACATTATTAATTCAATGCAGAGTGAATATACCTTTTTTAATGACAATTTTTAGTTTCTAGGTACTGTTTTTTTGTTAATTTTTTTGTTTATATTTGGGGGGGTGGCAGTTACTGGTATTTCGTATCTGGGTTTAATGTAGCCATACTTGCATATCATTAATAAAATTGTCAAGGTAACCCTGGCCAGTGTGGCTCAGTTGGTGGAACATCGTCCTGTGCATCAAAGGCCTCTGGTTCGATTCTTGGACGGGCACATGCCCAGGTTGTGGGTTTGGTCCCTGGTTGTGGTGCGTGTACGGAAGGCAATGGATGTTTTTTTCTCTCCCTCCCTCCCTCTGTCTTGAAAAAAAATAAAAACATCCTCAGTAAGGGTTAAAAAAAGTTTCGTTTTCATGTCATGGTAGCAGAGGTCCTACTTTTCTCAGATCTAAAATAAGATTTTCACTCTCATGTCTTAAGCTATTTTCTATTCATATTCGATGCTCCCAATTTGTGATTGTATTAGTGCCCTAGTGCTGCTGTAAGAAATTCCTACAAACAGTGGCTTAAAGTAACATAAATTTATGTTACAGTTCTGGGTGTCAAATTCAAGATTCCGATCTTACGGAGATAAAATCAAGGTGTAGGTAGGGCTGCATTCCTTCTGGCTGCTCCAAGGGAAAAATCCATTTCTTAAAATTCCTTTTCGAGCTTCTAGAGAGGTGACCGCTGCCTGACACGCGCTGGACCGGAGCTCAGCGCGGAGCCGAGGCCGCCCGGGCGCCCGGCCCCGGGG